TGATTTTGATACCTTGTAGTCACTAGTTTTACAGACAAGGAGTATTTCACAGCTTTGAAGAATAGAATCAGGTGCCATGGCCAAATAGTAATTTATGCCACTACTTCTGTAATTTGTTGCAAAAACTCCTCATAAAATAATGGAGTGGATGAACATGCCACAATGGAATGTTTGAGAGATTTGGGAATAAAATTGGACACTAAGGGTCCCTTTCCTTAACCATTGATATAAAAGATATATTTACACGCAGAAGTTATAACTTAACACTTTACAATAAGAATTTTAATGAAGTTTGTACCACACACTGAATGGGAATTCATATGTTATTTTGGTTAACAACTGTTACTAGTAACTAAATTTAAATTATAATTTGCTAGCGTTCAAATAATTTTTTTTTCTAAGGTGGTACAAAATCATATTTCTTCTTAATTTAGTTCATTGTAGAAAATCTATGCAAAACTCTGTTCTTTTTTACAGTGAGTCTAACAGAAAGGAGTTCTCTTTTACCATGACTATCTTGCTAAATATAATTTATTTATGCATTTTTTCACTTGGAGTTCAAAATTTTATACAGCTTTGCAAATGGTTAGATTCATGCAAATGTATGAACTACATTTTTGGGAATAATTTTTTACCGTTATAGTGACAATCAAGCAAATGTTGGGAAGGTGTAAGGGAGAACAGTCCATAAGAACTGCTAGAGAGGAGTAAACTCCATTTTTAGGGCTTAGGTAGCTCAAAACTATCAGTCTTAACACTTCAATACACTACACAAATATTTCATTTACAAAGCAGGTATTAATGTCTTCAAGTGTTTCACATGTAAAATGAGGTGGAATAAAGTTATTGTTTTTATCTTTGGGTATAAATGTTAATTTCTGGAATTGTAAACTGTTTACATGATCTAAGAAAAGACAACATAAAAGCCAAACAAACTTCTTAGAAAATAGTTGCAGTAAAAAGAGTAGAATTGTCATACATGGAAATGAGAAAAAGCTTCGAAAGATTGAATGATGAATGGGCATCAATAGCAGAAATCAGATTCTCTAAGCCTCGCTTTAAGTGCACATTGTACAAATATATTCTTACTGGAGAAGAGGATGCTATCCAGTTGTGGGATAAGTGTGTACAGAAGAATTTTCTGTACATCTCTGAATACAAAGATGGAACAGGGGTAGTGTTAAATAAGTTTGATTAGAAGTTTAAATGAAAAAATATGGCAAAAGTTTTGGGCCATATCCTTTTTTCCTCAAAAAAGAAAAGTTATATATGAACAAAGTCTTAAGTTTTACTAGGGAACTGGTATACATTGGGAAATAGAATTGCAGCAAAACTACAGAAACAATGAAACAGAAAAGAGTGAAAAATCAGTTGGCTGTGATTTATTTAGACGGTTAGTGCATGCTAGGATCTCCTAAAATTTCACTATTTGGTTATACAAACATTTTTCCAGCTCCCAGTGAAAACTGGTGATAAATTCTTGCAAAAAAAAAAAAAAATAGAGGAAGAAAAGGATAATCTGAAAGGGCTTCTATGCTGCAATTGTTAAGGCACTCCCTTCACTTTTCACATTACTGCTTATTCAGACATTTGCTGCATATAAGACAGGAACTCTTGAGCACCAGACTAGAAAGAATTCTATTTATACTCAAATGTGCTCATCAAACTCCTGAAACATACCTTTTCTTTTTAATAATCTATTATTATCATCATCTGTCAAGCCCAGTGTTGAATCAGAACCTAACTGTGTTAGCCATCATCCTGGTACGTAACAAAAGACAGATTCCTTGTACTAGACAGCTTACAAATACTGTTGAAAATATCTGTCAGTATTTAGCTGATAAATTTTAAAATTTTTGACTATCCAGAGCTAAACCTAAAAAATGTTACTTGTATTCCATAGGTCTTAATTTGTTCAGAGGGCCCTCAGCCCATTAACAGATTGAAACGCCTCTTCACTGCACGAAATGCTTTTTTATTTCATTGCAGTAGACTTCATAGAATCACAGACTATTCTGAAATGGAAGGATCATTGAGCCCAGCTCTTAAGTGAATGACCCATACAGGGATCAACAACCATCCACAACCTCGATGTTATTAGCATTCTGGTGTAACCAACTGAGCTCATCTCAGTGGCAATTTCTGTCATAAGGAGCCCTATGGTAAGTGGTAGTGTTCAAAACTGTTGGCTCCAGCCTGCAGAATAGAAGCTTTTAGAAAAAATGGTTTTTTCAAAGATACACTCTATAAATTTGATCAACTCTTAATAAATCCATTAGAGGAAGGATGAGAGTATGAAAAGTTATCTTGTTGTCTAGGGTCAGGAAAATAGTTGCAATCTATTTGCTTCCTAACAGGTTTTACTTCTCTCTTGCAACCTGACTCAGTCATTTTTTTTTTTTTTGCTCTCATGTAGAAAAGGCATTCTAATATGAGAAAACTCAATCTAAGGAGCTCTGGAAAGAAATCTCTCATGATCTGTGTACTTCTGGGCAGTAGATGTTAATGTAATCTGAAATCTATTCTTTTTGCCATTAGCTGTTGCTTTTTCTGGTTGTTTGTCAGAGATGTATTGCACTTGTTATGTGTCTGGTTCCTTCTCTATTTTTATTCTCTAAATTGGTTGCTGCATTCAAAGGGATTTTGTTACTTTTTCTCTTTTTTTTTCCTGAACCAGCACCTATTACTGTCCTTTTTGTGTGTGATCCAGTGAAAAGAGATTATCTGATTTACCTGTTCCAGATAGAGTATGATGATGAAAAACTATTTCCTGGAGAATCTGCTGTGTACCTTTCTTATGCTGGGAACATGACTTTAAGAAAGATGTTTTAATGGTAAACAAGCCACATTTTTTGACTTCTTTTCTAGCTTATTAGTCTCTCAATGCCTTTTCTATATTTCAAGGCTTTTGCCTGTTGTAGTTTAAAACCACCATTGAACTGTACACAATATCTTGAGTTATTTCTGGATGTTTTGCATGGCTTGACCTCTTTCTTGCCAAGAGGAATTTTTGGCTAGGTAGCATATTTTGTATTGCCATCCATCCCATCCGGCCCACATAACAGTCTGCTCTGAAACCCTAAGCAACTTGGTAGAAGAAGGAAGAGCCATGTGCCTGCTCTAGTTTCTGCCAGGTCCTGGCATCTGGCTGCACCCACAGCAGGAAAATGGTTCAAGTCACCTTTCTTTGCCTCCTTTCGCACATTGATCTCTCTCTGAGAGATCAGTTATATACCGAGCTTGGAGGCCCATCTATTAATTTTTCAAGAGCTCTCAGCAAGGAAGTCCCCTGTGTATGTCAGGTGTAAATACCATAAAACAAGAGAAGGATGTTTTGACAAAGTGGGGGTATTTTTTGCATATTTCCTCTTTAGTTGCTTTTCACTTTAAAATGCAGCAAGTGATAACACTTGAAAGTGTACAGTGGAGTGACACAGATATCAGAACAAAATGTTATTTTCAAGACATGAAGTTCTGTTTTGTCTCCCCGATTGGTATTTTACCTTCTATTTTGTCCATAAAACCACAGTAAGCATGGACAAGCTGATCAATTTTATCTATGTTATAAAATTGCTTTTTAAATGGAGGAAGTAAGATGTTTCAAACTCACAAAATCATGGTATACTAAAATAAAACCAGAATATGGGTAGGATTTACCTGCTGTACTTATTATAAATTTTTTCTGATGCATTTTTTCTATTTTTCCTTATACCCCTTAATGGCATTTTAACTGTATCATTAGCAGGAAAAAAGTGTTTTCTTGGTATCCAAAAAAAAATCTCAGCAAAAAACTGGTGTATTGGTTATAAAAAACCCCAAACCCAACGCAAAACAGAATAAGAAAAGGAAGTATAAAAGCATAAGATTTTATATAGGTACTGTGAAGACTATTTACAAAGGCTTTTTAAAAGCGTAATATTTGGTGAACAATAATTATTTGCAAACTGCAAATTTCCAGTAATGGAAATTTTCTTTGCCACATTCTTATACACCCTGTCATTATAGGTTCTGTGGACACTTCGGGCACTGTGTAATGTTTGCATCAAGAGAGTTCTGTCCTTGCTTCTCACAGTGAGAACTGTATCAGTCTTTATGTCCTAACTAGGGAAAACTGAAGTGTTGATTTAACAATTGGAATACTTATGTTCCTTTACTGTACTAATGTTAAAGATTATCTCACTGTGAAAAGGTGTTTTCCAAGTGTTAATGCTCACTGTTAGAGCAGGCTGTGCTTTACTAAGAGCTTGTACAAATGGGATGTGTTCTGGCGAACCTTGTAGTAAGAGTAGATTATGTGAGTGGTGATGCAAAGCAGAAGGATCGTGTGCTGCTGCTGCACACTGTGAAGGTCAGCAAAAGAGCACATGTTCTGCAGATAGTGGGACAGAAAGCTACACAATGTAGTTGCAGAAGAAGTAGACATTTGTGTTGAGTTTTCTAATTTTGACAATACTTATGCTCCGGAGTGGAATGAAAGCAAAAGCATTTCCTGTACTGCTCCTCCTCCCTGCATCCTTCAAGTTAATCTAAATACTTCAATTTGATTAAATCAGGATATTTAATTACGTTTAACTGATTTTTATATTTTCTAGTCCAATCTAATCACAGTTTACCAATTAGGAATCAAATGCCACTAATTATTCTTTTATAAAATAGAAATATTCAATTTTGAATAGGCTAAGATGAAATATTTGGGCTATATCACAATGCTTTTTTTCAGTTTTCCATTTTTAATTGATTTTTGCACTTCTGTTTAAGATTTTTGTTTTTATGAATTTGTATGTCCTAACACTATTCACAAGATCTATGCTGTTAGTACCACCAAAGATCTGATAGATTGTTTTACTGACATCTGGCAGTAGGTTTGCTGCATTTAGCTTCTTATGATTTTTGATTATTGAGTCAACCAATGGGATTGCATCCTTTGCTAACCTTATTGCCCATGTTGATTACTTTGCCAGATAAAAGTAGAGGTAAGCAAAGGAATTTCATTGAGTAACTTACGATTTACAAGTTTAGATGGTAATATTGGCTTGCACTTCTCAGGAGATGCCACATTCTCTTCATCTGTTACGTACTCAAAATTAATAATAAACATCATTGCTACTCCCTCTTGATTTTTCACTGGAATTACGTGGGTGTTGCAAATGAAGGTAGATCCTGTAGATTGATTAAAAACAAAAAAAAGAAAGAAATATATAAATGGAAGGAAACATTTTTTTCACTTCAATAAGTCTAGTTACATAAACAGTGAAGAATATTTCTTTGAATTCAATAATTGAGCATCAAACATATTATTCTTAAATTTAAACAGTTATGTTTTCATAGAAAGAAATGCCACTGTTCATAATTTTTTGGAATCTTACCTTTACCCAAAGGTGTCTCCTTTAAAATGTCAATTTTACTTTTGTTTTTTTTTTTTCACTGGAAGTGCCTGTATAGACGGACTTGTAATATGGAGACATTTAACACCAAAAGTAGAAATGTGAACGTTGTTCCAACCACCGTCCTTGAGAAGAAAGCAGAGCAGAATCTGATTCTTCTAAATGTCGAACATTCTTCAAGCATTTGGTTCTATTACACAGGATGAGTCATGCATTAAGTATTTATGGATGTAAATATACCACTATTCTTATTTTAGCTCTCAGTCTTTTGGGGACTTTGGGGAAACATTTAGGTTTGTGTTAAAAATTATATTTGTTATTTGATTTATACTCCATCATAAATATCTTCTAAACTATGCTAAAAATTTTCATTAATTTTCAGAAGGGTTTGACTTGTTATATACAATTCAATGTGTGAATTTAAAAATACCCTAGCTTTCACATTTGTGGAGCACACTCAACCTATACTAAAAGTAACAGAGTGTAAACTTTCAATACCTCTGGTGCTCAGCATGTTCTGGTTTAAAAACCTAATTACAGATTTAAGGAGTTCTTTGTGCTAATTCTTCCACTATAGCTTTTGAAGTTTCAGTTGACAAAGTCATGTGTTTTGATTTAATTCTTTCTATTAATGTTACAGAACATTGTGATTCCAAAAATAATGTGATGGCTGTAAGAAATACAACAATGTGCTAAAAACTTCATGCAGATACAGCTGTGAGATGGGGTCTTTCCATGATATCTAGCCACTGGTTTAATGTACATTATCTACAATTTAGGCACTCAAATGCAGTAATCACTGAAACTTGATGGCCTGTGCAATTTGACAAAAACAGATCTTGATCTAGATTGCACAAGAATATTTTTTTGTTTGTTTGTTTCTGTCGAGGAGAGAGATAGTACAATTTATATCATTACAACCAAGACCAGATTCTGGCTTCTAATGTTTAATGTAGTACTTGATATAATATGGTATGTATGTGGTATAATATGGCAATTCAAGTTGTGTATAAAATTGACATGCTGGCCTTTCAAGTTGTGCAGCTGTAACTTCCATCCATTTAATAAAACAGTTGAGCTGTGGCACTTGCCACAGTTTCCATGGTTACAAGCTCAATGTCTTTAGTAAACAGAAAATAAGCAATTTAAGACTGTTCCATTAGAGCTAAAAATAGAAGTGCTGCAGGCCAACCATTGCAACATAGACTGGTTAAACAGAGAGGCTGGAGAGAATTTAGAAAAATCTTTGTGGTTTTAGCTAACAAATAAAATACATACTGAGTTCAAAAAGTCAAAATTATATTTACTGATTTGCTTGGAAGGAAATGATATGCACGGTTTTGACATGAAGATTTATAGTCTGAGTAGGTATCCCCCAATATGTGGAAGCGGGGCTCAGCTGAGGCGTGTGTGGCTTTCAATAACACTGAACTTCAGTGGATCAAATGTTTGTCAGTATTTGCAAAGGAGGATGATGAGGACACTTCTTTAAAAACTTTCCTACTTTTGAAGGCAAGGGTGTTTTAGCTTTTGAAATGCTTCCCACAGTGCTAAGTAATGACACTATTTCCCATTTGTGTAGAACATACCACCCTCAAGAATTTACAAACCTCATTCGTACTGGAGCTAGGGATTTGCATCTCTGGGGAGATGCAGGAGTTGTTTAACAGTCCACAGCTTAAGAACATAGCAAAAAGAGCAGAGGATTGAAAATTTAAGCTGTATGCAGAAATATTTCAGGAACAAAAAATAGGAAAGGTTCACGTGTGGTTTAATTTAGCATGGTTCCTTTGAAGACCAAATACTCCACAGACTAGTAAGTCCACTGTAGTTCATTAGTCTGAAGTTTTTCCAAGAAACTTAGACTTTTAAGAGGAAAGGAATATTTATCTTTTTTGTATGCCTGAAAGTGGAAAGCTGCAAGTTAACCAAAATATAACAGTCACAGTCACTGTTTGTGACACTGTTAGTGTTTGTCTTTAGTACAGACTACTACAGACTGCTATCTGCTATCCACTTATCAGTATCTAGTTCTATTGAAGGGACAATGAGGAAATACAAGATTCAAAATAGCAAGGAATACACTAGTGTTATTTAGAAAGAAGAGATGGGTACAAAGAAATAACATTGGCAAATTCAAAAGATAAGCTGTGAGTTGTTAGTTGATAGCAATAAAAAATAATAATAAGAAGCTTGTTTACAAACAATCTTATTCAGTATTTGCACTCTGGCATCCCACTGCTCTTCATTTTACTCAGCATGTTTTCCTGTTTTTTCTTTATGCTGAATATTTCAAAAGTAAGACATGCTTCTGATGAGCAATAAAAATAGTAATGTAGTTTTTGGAATTTGCATTTCTTATCTAACAGCACTGGGCAAGTGGATGATTTAATGAGAACAATTAAGAAAGTTATACCTTTATAATTAATAAATTAAATATCCAGCAATATATCTGAATTTTCTCATGATTACTACAGAGGAGTAATCATGAAAAATACCTCTTTTGCTCTCTTGTTATCATTGAAAATGAGAGAGGACAAGTTGGATATTTTCTTGTTAACATGAATTCCATGGTTAAAGGGACATATTTTTTTATTTAAGGTAATTGTAAAGCCCGCTGTTTCATCTAGTTAAATTAATGGAAAAATATCCATATGGGAAGAAGATATTTCACTCCCCTATTTGCTGTGTGGACATGATGTATGATTCCATGGTTATGTATTATTCAATAGTATGATTTCACAAGACCACACAGACTTGTGTAAAACTGTAACTGCCAAAATACACACACAAGTGACAGTAAATATTTCAGACATAATGACTTAGGGTATAGTAGGGTTATATAAGGATATATTGCACCATTTGAGCAATTCTGATGAAGGAAAACCTATTTAACTATCTGCATAGTGTTTAAAACTGACTTGCTTTAAGAGAATAGTACAAGGCAGGCACATCCAACCAATTGAACCGGTTCGTAAACTTTATTTACCTTTCCAGTGATTTTAGGAAGATTTTAGGGTAGATTTTCATCAGACTGCATCGTCTAGATACAACTGCATTCATTTATTAGAATTGTGGTAGTTCCATTTATAAACAATTTGGAGAGGACAGTGCAACTAATACAACAGTGAAGACACTCCAAATTCTTGTATGAAAAACTCTGACAAATAAGCTTCGAAAAATGACAAATCCCAAACAACTAATTTGATTCAGCCTTCCTGGGAACAAAATCTTCACAGGCTATTTCATATGCCAAGCTCAGAGGATCCCTGAAAAATGAGGCATTTAGGTAATTGTCCTAATTCTGCAGAATTGCTGTGGTTCAAAACAAGAACCTTTCAAAATTCATCATGATTCTACAGGATGGCTCTGGAACCCTCTTGCCTTGCATGGGCTTTACAGTTGCTATCTTCATTTCAACATTTAAAAATTTAGACTACTGCACTCAGTACAAATTTGAGGACAGTCTTCAGAAGGCAGAGACTGGTTTCAATATATTTTGGAACCAGTCTTGGCTCTCTGTGCCAAAGAATTTATGACTTCTCAGATATTTTTTGTTACTAGATCTGCTGTAGACAACCGATTAAAGCTATAGAAAGAAAAATACTGAACATGTCCTCTGCATGCATGTAGAGATTTCTGGCCACAGTCACCTCATACCCGAGTTTCCTAGAACTGTGATAATTTTTTACTTCTGTGATCTACAAGTAGTCCGGTGTAGGTATCTCTACAATCCACAGTCACTTCTGCTCCTTTAAAATTGAAGATGACAAAGAATAAATCAAAACACTACAAAGAAGGAGCCAACAACAGCTTGCCTACCAAAACAAGACCAAAGACAGTCAAAAAATAGAGGCAGAGATACTCTGCATTTCCAGATCTAGACAGTCCTGTTTGCTGTTTGCAAGACAGCTCTGAATGAAACACGTCTGAGTACCACAGTTTTATGGTAATACAGGGACAAGAGAAAGATGCTGGATATTCTTTGCACTTTTATAAAATAATCACTATTTTTATTTTGGAAATAAATACCTTCCACTTCTCTCAATTGGATTCTCACTTTGCCATATACAAGATTGCTCAAAATGCTTTCTCTCAGAAGCATAAACTTAAAACCACCAATTATAGTAGAAATGCAATTAAATATATTTCATATTCAATTGTGTACTAAGCTTAGTCTTAATTCTATCAACATTTGACTGAAAGGGGGCACAGAAAAGTCCACATAGGTCCCGTTTTGTTAGTAATGAGGTGAAATGTTGTTTTCATAGATTCTTTTGTGACCAGTTACTGTGACGTTATTAGAGTGTGATCACTATTATAATAAGTAGAAGCTTAATATTTCTCTGTTAAGCAAGAGTTGACTCCTGTAAATACAAAGAGCACTATGTAATAAAATATAGTCAATCTTACTTTGTTATCTTATGTCTATGTTTATAGCCTTATTTGTCCTTTCATCATAGCATGGCTTATGGGCATTGCCCAATGTTAATAAAAACTTTTCTGGGAAAAGAGAGCTAATCTGAGGGAGAATTAATGTGGAAGATCAGAAAACCTTCTCTGTCTTTGCCTGTTCATCATGGAATCTTCATCTGTAGGAGGAGAAACCAAAGTATGGCTTTCTACTGATTCCTAAACTTCACAAATGCATTATTCTCTTTATTCCTAATAGCCAAAACCTCCCATTGCTTTCTACTTCTCTCAGCTTGGGGACAATCTTGGAAAGGTGTAACACTTTTTCCAAGCAGAACATAAAGGGAATTAATGAAATTTAAT